GTATCAAATGTAATGAGGTGTTCAAAAGCAAAACATTGCTAGATGATCATTTGGCTAGGAAGCATACAGGATATATTCCATTTAAAATACATGAATGTAAAGTTTGCGATTTCGTATTCGTTCATGAAAGAGATTTTACTAGACATATGTTGAGACACAATGATGTTCCTGACGCTCACATCTGCAAACATTGTAATGCGTCATTTAAAAAAAATCGACCGCTATTCGACCATATTCTAAAAACACATCCCGAGTGTAGCGGGACAGTTTCTAGTAAGATATATGAATGTATACATTGTGCATTCAAAATAACCAGTAGGACAAATTTTATAAAGCACATGGCAAAACATAATGCTCAAAAACCCTTTGAGTGTATGAACTGTGATGCATCATTTAAAACTAAACCAAGTTTAGACCACCACATATTACAGAAACATCCCGAGTTTACAGCTTCTGTGTCTAGCAAGATACACGAATGTGTACATTGCGAATATAAAACTACACACGTGAGAAGCTTAGATAGTCATATGATGAAACATACTGGAGTTAAGATCACGTGTGCAAACTGTGATGCGTTATTTACAAGCAAAAGAACGTTGGACAATCACATTTCCCAGAAACATCCTGAGTTGTCTGCATCATTGTCCTGTAAAATACATGAATGTACACATTGTGAATATAAAACAACACGCTCGGGGGATTTCGCTACTCATATCATGAAACATACTGGAGCTAAGCTTACGTGTACAAAGTGCGATGCATCATTTATTAGCAAACAATCGTTCGAGAACCACATTTTACAGAAGCATCCTGAGTCTACTGCTTCTGTATCTAGTAAAATACACGAATGTAAACATTGCGAATATAAAACTATAGTCGCGAGGAATTTAGCTAGCCATATGATGAAACATACTGGAGCTAAGCTCTCGTGTACAAAGTGCGATGCGTCATTCATAAGCAAATATTCGTTAGATAACCACATTTTACAGAAACATCCTGACTTTACTGCTTCTGTGTCTTATAAAATACATGAATGTACACATTGTAAATATAAAACCACTCACGCGAGGGATTTAGCTAGGCACATCATAAAACATACTGGAGCTAAGCTAACGTGTACACGGTGTGATGCGTCATTTATAACCAAATGTCCGTTAGACAACCACATTTTACAGAAGCATCCCGAACTTACTGCATGTGTGTCCCATAAAATACACGAATGTACAGATTGCGAATATAAAACTACATACGCGAAGAGCTTAGCTATTCATATGATGAAACATACTGGAGCTAAGCTGACGTGTACAAAGTGTGATGCGTCATTTGCGAGTAAACAGTCATTGGATGACCATACTTTACAGAAACATCCTGAATTTATTGCTTCTGTATCTTGTAATATATATGAATGTACACACTGTGAATATAAAACGACACGGAAATATAAATTAACTAAGCATACCTGGAAGCATACACAGTCATAGTCATTGTTTTTGTTTCATTTGTGGCGAATGCGTGCCTTTGCAGAGAAATTAACCGTTGTCATGACAATTCAAAGAAAAAAGTAACACTAATGCACAGTTGTACCGCCATTCTCGAATCCAGCACATCAAACGTGATCCGAATCTCAAGGTCAAACTCAAATTAAGTTTTGTTGCACCATTATTTAGTGAACGCTTAGCTAGCAGATGCGTTCTTGCTACTCAACCTATTTTCTTTCTGTTACATTCACATTTCTCAGATATACTCTACAGACTCTCGACATTCTGCAATCAATAAAGCATGCTGGCGAACTGGCAGAATGATCGTTGAGTGATTCCTCCATAGGAATGAGGTATGTCAAGTCCACTTTCATCTTGACTACAGACTGAGATTTTGGAGACGAACCGTAGGATTGCTCGTTCTGCCTAGTCGGAATTCCTTGAACACATACAGATCTGTGATCCAGACTTAATCCTAAATGGAAAAAATACTTTAAAAGAATATAATTTTATTCTTTAGTATTTATTTACGTATAGTGGATAGCATAACTATAGTCCCACCAATAATACCCGGTATCTCTCTAGTTGATTTCAATGCAACTTTATATAACTTCGGACCGGTTTTTCAATCGCAAGTTAACTTGTTGTAATGTGTTCTGTGCGTTTGGTGACACTCGATGATCGTGTCTCGTGTCATCCGTGACAACTCATGTCACTGGCAAGCAAAATCGCGGTTTAACTGCATCTATCAATTTCACCGATACCTGGACCTCTAGATAAAGTTAGGTATGTACTGTTTATGGCAAACCTGACATTGAAAAACGTTCAAATTCCGGTTAGCAGTAAACCTGTGATTGAAAAACTAGCCCTTACAGGAATAAACGTATTGTTAAATGAATTAGAATAAACTCCTTATTTAATCTTTTTGCCTATTTTACCATTCCTGTTAGTTTATTAACTTATATTAAGTTACAATTGAACGGAGCGAAAGAAAGCCTCCAGTTTATATGTAATTAACTTGTATATTTCCTAATTTAGCATTCAATTTATGTTTCCTAATGTTATTTGAGGGTGATACGATTTTATGTCGATATTAGCACGTTTTTATCTGTACATCTTCGATATACCTGTATTACCGTTCCATTATGTTGTACATTTCATATATTGTATCTGAAATAAATATATTCAAGAACACGTCTTCTGAATAATAATCCAAAAATTATTATCAACACTAAACAATGACCACAATTTTGCCATGTTTGGTGGACTTTACAAAATTGAATCAATTGAAATTTTATGATGAGATTAATATTTATAAAGTTTTACGCATTTTTTTTTTGCCTACACGTAACTTGATTTTAGTCGGTTTTTTTACCATTAAATGTAGCCTATTTATATTCCGCAATCTTACTACCAGTAACGTACGAGGGATGTCTTTTAAGTTTTGCATATACAGGGTGACTTTGAAGTTGAGTCATTAATTTTCAGATAATGATTGTAGAAGGAAGATAAACCAAAATATGTGTGTAAAAATAAAAAAAAAAAAAAAATTTTTACCTTGTTTTATAAAGTATCCTCCCGACAAGTATTTCAGTGCGGACCTGTATTTGATCGTGAGGTCCCCTGTGAGGTCTTAAATCACCTGATTCACGAGCCCGTTGTACTACATTAACAAAGGCACGAGGGGTTGGTTGCACTCGATTGGGAAACCGATCCGCATAAATATGTATGTGCCATTTTTTATTTCGTTTGAGCCACGCAGCAAACATCACTCACTATTTACTCACGCGTTACCGACTGACACAGACTGAATAAAAACATCGTGATCAGCGTTTCAAATTCTTTCGCTTTTTTGTTTCCGATGCGATGAACCGATAAGGCGGAGTATATCCGTTATCGCCAAACACGAGCACATAATATTATTATTGAGACAGGGCGGTACTCAAACTTCTAAAGGGCTATAACTTTGTTACTTTAATTTTACCACAAAAATGTTAAAGGAAAAAACATTTCTTTTGATCAGATCTACTCACTGTTAAAATAAATGACTCAACTTCGAAGTCACCCTGTAGAAACATAGTAGGCCGCGCCGATCGAACGTCAGTACTGAATCTTAACCTCACTCTTTAGTAAACTTAAATTCAAAGTTTCACAACAATACGTGCAGTGTTATCACTACAGTGAATTTTGAAGTGTCACCAAGTCATTAGAAAAATGGAACTCAACCGAGAACATTTTCGCGCCATAATTTATCACAACTTTCAGAGACAATTACCGCAACAAGAATGCCTTGCTGAGTTACTGTCTGTTTTCGGCAACGAAGCGCCACATCAATCGACAATTTCCCGTTGGTATGGAAAATTCAAACGTGGGCGGGTGAGTCTTAACGACGATCCCAGGGTGGGTGCATCAAAAACGGCAGTCACCCAGGAAAACGTCGATGCTGTGCGCAAACGCAAACTCATCATTGAAGATAGACATGTGACATATCGCGAGAATGAGGCGTCCTTGAAGATCTCAAAGACTTCAATTCAAAAAAATTTACATGAAGAATTAGTAGTAAGAAGTTTCTCGTTGGATACCCCACCTGTTGACTGAAGAGCAGAAAGCAGCCAGGGTTAATTGGTGTCAAAAAACGCGTGACCGTTTCAATTCCGGAAACTCAAAAAATGTGTACAGCATTGTTAGTGGTGATGAATCGTGGATTTACTGTTATGAACCAGAAAATAAACGACAGTCGGATGTTTGGGAGTTCCAAGGTGAAGAAAAGCCAAAAAAAGTCATCCGTTCTCGTTTCGAAAAAGATGGTCGCGACAATTGTGTCAAAAGCGGGTCATATTGCAACAATTCCTCTTAATGAGCAAAGAACTGTTACTGCGCATTGGTATACCACCATTTGTGTGCCAAAAGTCATCACCACGCTTCGAAAAATCAACCCCGAAAGAAGAATCATCCTCGACCAAGACAATGCAAACTCGCACACAGCCCAAAAAACAAGGCAGTATTTAACGAAGAATTATTGGACCATCCTCCATATAGTCCCGATCATTTAAAACTACCTACTGTGTTGTTTTAATTTCCATATGCAAAACTTAAAAGACATCTGTCGTAAAACACGACTGAAGTCGAAATCAGGTTGGAGTCGAGTTGTTGTCGGTTTGCTCTTTGTGAAACAGTGCATTGCAGATCACGATTTGAAAATAAAATTTCGGTAGAAAAGTTGACTGGGCTATATAATCTTTGACTCGTTTCGTATCGAGAAAAGGGAATCTAAATTCATTGTATGGTGGCATTTTAAGTATCATTTTTTTAATTACGTCAAAACATTGAATAACATATCGGCCAGAAACAATTTTAATTGAAAAATTCTTTAAAGGCATGTGGATGATATGGGGAAAACATAACTAAATATTGAAATCTGTATGAGAAGTAGCCACTTCTATTTTTCTTCAACAGATGTCACCAGTATTATTACTGTCACACTACTGTTTTCAGCTGGTGGGTAATGTTGTCAAGTGTCAAGTATCCATGAGTTTTGAGAACTGAAAAAATCATCTTTAAGAGAATTATTTTATTCCTTGATGCCACCCTTCTTTTAATGCAGTTGGGTGTTCTCTCCAGATTGATAAGCTGTCAAGCACTGTAGTGCGGTGGTTGAGAAGTCTAACTCGTGACACTTTATTTACGGAATGAGTCTTGGCATGGCGTGAGTACTCGTCAGTACCTTTCATAGAAGTATAGTCTAAATAGTTCCATGTACTGTTGCTGTTTGATTTTTTCTAGAATTTTTGAAAGGAGTGATAAGTTTTTAGCTAAGATGTTCTAAGTTGTGTAAGATTTTAGGGACAGTTACAAGTTAGGCCAGCTTCAACTGTTCAGGGAGCCTTTTTGATTTTCATAGTTCTTTATCTCCTCCAGAAAGGCTTGGGTATTTTTCGATTTCTACTGTTCAGCATCTGTAATCTCCTACTGTTAGGCTAAATTTTCTTTATGATTGTACGAAATTTCAGGCTGATATAGCAGATGAAAAGCATGAACAATTAGATATTTGTAACATAACCTCAAAATAGAGTGCTGCCACGGAACAGCAGAAAATCAAGGGGACAGTAAAGTTGACCTGCAATCTGTAGGAACGACTGACAATAAGTTAATATTGTTTTAATGTCAAAGCTGAACACTGGGATGGAGTTAATCAGGTGAAAATGGAGCACCAGTTAATAGTTGAAGTTAAATCTGAAAAACCAGATACGGAAACAACTGTGGACAACACAAATTTTGATAATTCGGATACTTTGATGCTGAAGGAAGAGTTCAACATCAAATCCGAATATGATGAAGAATCAAAATGGGATAGGTGGGTTTGGTTTTGCTTTCAATTTATTTATTTCTCCTTGACAAAAAAAAAACAGTCAAATAGTAAACAGTAAGATTAATGTATCAATGTTCTTCCACACTATCAAAGCTATTGTCAGTCTTTAGATTGTGGCAATTCTTTATTTCCAAAGGCAGTAGGTTAAATCACCCTGTATTGAAGCGCCCCTACATTACTGTTTTAGGATCAAAGTTGAAGAGAAATTATTGCCTGCAATTGAAGCTGACTGGACGGCAGATACTGTTGACCAGATCAAAATGGAGTTTCAAGAGCCTGAAAAACTGGAAGAATGCAGCACCTATTTTGAAAATACGGACGCGGTTGGGCTAAATGAAGAATTCGACATCAAAATTGAGGGTTACCAAAGTGACGGACGTGATTCGGGATCCGATAGGTGAGTCTCTAATCTTAAAACTGTACGGGGTGTCCCAGAATGATATGTGAATTTCTGGCATACGAGGTTTTAATTTCGTAAGTTTCGAGACTCCGATTGTCAAAAACTTTTTTATGTAGGTATACACGCTCCTGAAGTATGATGAAATTTTCAGCTGTTTTGCAAGTTTTAAATCACAGTTTTTGAACAGCTCTATGACAAGTTGCTCTGGAAAACTTGTTTGTGTTTTTTTTTTATTCTATAATATTTACAATTCGTCATAATTAGCACGCCGATTTTCCTTGATAATCCATTTTAAGGCTCTTGAGTTCAAACTGGAATAACGCAGGCGACTTCCAGTTCTGGATTTTTGAGTCACAGATCCCGTTGTTTTGTACAATTTAATAATACAGCAGACGCTCGATAATGTAAACTAATTTAATCCAAGTGTAGTTCACATTATCGAAATGTTTACATTAGCGAACGTGATTTATATAATATTTGATTTATTAAAAGAAACGTTTAATACATACTATTTATAACAAAAAAGACAAATATTCTAACAGCAATAAGTATTCTTTTAATTAGAAGAAAAATAATTAACAATTTTTGTCTGCGTAAATTTGCGCTTAGCATTGTCTTTTTCTTTTTCCCGGACCTCCAAATGTATTGTACGTTCTTTGTAAAATTTGAGTTTTCATACGCTTAATTTTACAGATTGTTGCTTTCGATACTCCATATTTTTTTGCTAACTGTGTCACTCCCGCACCTAGTGCAACTTCGTCTATGATTTTCACTTTCTCACTCAACTTTAAACACTTTCTTTTATAGGATGTGGATGCCATAGTCGTAAAATGTATTAACGCGTGCAATGTATTCACTTAAGTTCAAAAATGAAATACATACGTACGTATAAACGCATCCTAAACGATCATACGACTGACCGAGTTTGTCGTATTTTATCGCAGAGGTGAATCCCCTACACTCTACATCATAAATCGGGGACTCCCCGACGCCCGACATAAATCATCGAGGCTTCAGCATTTTACCGTCGCGCTGTTTCCGTGCGCCGAGAGTTGTTTACGTTATCGAGCGTACACATTGTTTACGTTATCGCGCGTTCCGTTTGATCCGATAGAACGAAGTTTGTGTTTACATTAGCGCAAGTTTTCATTATCCCGTGTTTACGTTATCGAGCGTCTGCTGTAATTTAAAAATAGCCGCTGCGGTTCCATAAACATTCGAAACATCTAGGCGGTCAACGGACGAGGAGTTGCAAGAAGCAGTTACCAAGTTTCTAAACGGTAGTGCAAGAGTGGATTTCACGTCTAAAAAATCTGCGTAGAAAAAATAGCGACTACGGGGAAAAATAGCTTAAAGATCAACGTTTCCGATGGTGATATCGTTTTTTCAAATAAAAAATTCATTGTGCCGAAAAAAAAATGTGGGAACCTTATTTTTGAAACAATTCTCTCAGACCTTTGTGCATGATTGTTTTCATTGTGTATACTTTATTGGTCTTAATTAACTGAAAAAACAGGAGTTGGTTCTGGTGTAATACGTATGAATTTCATTGTTCCTTCGCAGTGGTGCAGCTAAACAATGAGGTTAAGTTCCTTTTCCAATTTTGAATATAAATGCCATGGCCATTATGTAAAGATGTGGGCTTGCAGACAGTGAATAACATGTCTTCAATTCCTATGTATTTTCAAAATTACTTGCATTCTCCTATCTTGTACTGTGCTTATTATTATTATACAACAATTTGACAAATGTCTGAAATGAAATACCGACAGAGTCGAATGATTTGCCCACAATTTGTACCAGATCTATATCTTCTGTTTGAACAGTTGATAAAACCTTTTGAACCAATATGCATGCGGTGTTTGTCTTAAATCATTGGTTATGGCATTTTAACAAAAATATGACAGCAGAAAGTTAGGTTATGGTGAAGTTGTATACCAACATATTTAACATATGTACAGCCTTTAACAGTTACTAAACAACAGTTGTATAAGTGCTTCCGTTGGGAGCAATTTGTTGACTAAAGTAGTAAATTGCACAGCAAAACAACAAGGCTCGGGTTTGTTTTATAAACGTTACCATGGATGCCACAACACAACCATTTTGACTAACCTGCAAATATGCCGTATAAAATAGTTGTATAAACGTTTATGCATCAGTTAAAAATTTGCCCTATAAGGTGTTGGATAACTATGCTATAAGAATATCTTAAACACCTCATGCATTCCACACAACATTAAGCCAGCATTTTGGTGTTCAGGCAACAATAATAGAGAGCTTTTATGGCTGAACGGTTCTTTTACCAAAAGCTTATAGCACTACTTTGCTGGTTGGGCTGTCACAAAAAACCGATACAATGTCAAAAAATCGACATAATGTCACTTTTCAAGGTACGTAATACCCGGGCCGCTCCCGCTTGCCTATCACGAGCAATGAGGTATTGAAATTCGTACGTCTTTCTGGTCCACCCTGTATTATGAACCGTAACTGGTTAGAAATTCTGGAAAAAATGCAGTTTCTTTGAAAATCTCTTAATAATGCAATTATGATGCATTGTCAGTGAAGATCATTGAAATAGAAGTGATGAATATGTTTTTTATTTCAGTGCACAAGTAAAGAAAAAGCGGAAAAGGGAGCAAAAATATTCACAAGTCCAAGAAGGAAATCAGTTGTTTAGCTGTTCTGTTCATAACCATACGAGCAATCGTAAAAACGGTTCGATCAGTCACCTCAAAAGCAACGAGTGTCATTCAGGACCTGATTCGGAAAAATCCCTATCCATTCGCAAGAAACAATACCCAAATGAATTGTTTTGTTGTATCAAATGTAATGAGGTATTCGAAAGCAAAATTTTATTAGATAATCACGCGATTAGGAAACATGTCGGATCAGTTTCTTTGAAAATACATAAATGTACGTTATGTGATTTCAAAACCGTTTATAAGACTTCTTTAACCAGGCATATGATAAGGCACACTGCCGCTAAAGATCCCGAGCTACACGTTTGCAAACATTGTAATATGTCAGCTAAACATATGGATTCTCTGTTCGATCATATCCTAAGAAAACATCCCGATTGTAGCGAGGCAATTTCTAGAAAGATATACGAATGTGAACATTGCGCATTCAAAATAACTAAGAGGAGTAAATTTATAAGGCACATGGCAAAACATAACAATCGAAAGCCCTGTGAGTGTATAAACGGCGATGCGTCGTTTAAAACTAAGCTATATTTAGACGATCACATTTTAAAGAAACATCCCGAGTTTGATGAGTCTGTATCCTACAAGGTACACGAATGTATACATTGTGAATATAGAACTATACACGCGAGAGATTTGGATAGGCATATGATGCATCACACTGGAACCACTAAGTTCACGTGTGAAAAGTGTCATGCGTTATTTACGAGCAAACAGTGGTTTCACAACCACATTTTACAGAAGCATCCCGAGTTGATCGCTTCCGTGTCTAGTAAGATACATGATTGTACACATTGCGCATATAAAACTACAAACGCTCGCAGTTTAGCTACGCATTTGATGAAACATACCGGTGTTAAGCTGAGTTGTACAAACTGTGATGCGTTGTTTATAACGCAACTCGGGTTAGATAATCACATCCTGCAAAAACACCTCAAGTTTACCGCTTCTATATTCAGTAAGACGCATGAATGTAAACAGTGTGAATTTAAAACGCCATACCTACCGCAATTGTCTAAACATATGATCAAACATACTAGAGTCAAGCTCACGTGTACAAAATGCGATGCGTCATTCACAACCAAACAACGTTTAGACAACCATATTTTGCAGAAGCATCCTGAGCTTACCGGTTCTGTGTCTCGCAAGATACACGAATGTACATATTGTAAATATAAAACTACATTCGAGAGTGAATTAGCTGGGCATATACTGAAACATACCGGAACTAAGCTCACGTGTACAAAATGTGACAGGTCATTTACAGACAAACGATCGTTGGACAATCACATTTTACAGAAACATCCCGAGTCCACCGCTTCTTTGTCTCGGAAGATACACGAATGCGCGCACTGTGAATATAAAACAATGTACGCGTACTACTTGAATAGGCATATCATGAAACATACCGGAGCGAAGTTCAAGTGTACAAGGTGTGATGCGTCATTCACGAGCACGCGATCTTTGGACGACCACATTATACAGAAGCATCCCGAGTTTATCGATTCTGTATCTCGTAAAATACACGAATGTAAATACTGTGAATATAAAACAACACAAAATTATAGATTTAAGAATCATTCAAGAAAACATATCGTCGCTTTAGAATAGAACTAGCCTAAGTCCGAAAATCAAAGTTTTCAGGAAACGGATTTTTTTGAATAGGTTCTTTATTTATACAGATATTTCAATGAAAATTTGTATACATGTTCTAAATATGTCTGTTTTTAATATACCTTAGAAAAAACGAAAAACATTAACGTTAAAGCAAAAAGTTGGACATAGATTACTTTCAATTTTAGCAAGTATACCAAGTCCACTTCTTGGACGTAGGCTAATTATATGTTTATGGACATAATATAGTCAAGTGGTTAATTTTATGACTTTTTATTCAAAACCTGCTACGATAATAACGTAAAATATTATCTATTACTTGGTCAACATTTTTGTGAAAACTGATTTATTGACTTTTTTCTATAAAAACACAAATTTTCATCTAATAAAATTTATTAGAATAATTTTTATTAATACAATAAGTAATAGAAATAAAAAACTTAAAACTTAAGTAGCTGTAGTTTCTGAAAAATAAAAAATATTAATTTTTTAAATAATTAAAATAACTTATGTTTTTAAGCAAAAGAATAATATGTCTACATAAATAAAAACATATCGTAGATTATTCATCACTATCGGAATCTTGAAATTTCGTTTTGTTGGAAAATGGTAAATTTTTAAAGTAATTATGGTAAGGCGCTATAATTGCTCCTTTATGACAAAGAAACTGAAGATGATCAA